CCTATTTAAAAATGTAACTGAAAAAAAAATTCTGAACCTTACAAATAATTTTATCAGATATTGATGATCAACATTTTCACAAGGATGTTCAAATGGAACATTATAACAGGTATTTACGAGTTTAGTTCCTACATTTTTCTCAACAGCAAAAACAGGAAACAAATTACAGGAAACAGGATTACATTTTTCTCTGTAAACAAATTTTCATTTATGTAGTCATAAAAACTGGTTTGGGGCATTTGTAGATTACCAAAAACTGTCTTATCTTTATTGGTATACGTATGCCTAAAGTAGCACAAAAGAAGTGTTTTGTCCAGATCTTTTGGGCTTCTACCATACTCTATGCACAATTCACAACGATGCACATTAAGACATTTGCTGTATAGGTATCCGCAAACAAAAGTCAAAGAATTAGACTCTGGTACATCAAGATTTCTATAGTCAACAGTACCTATTTTTAAGCTAGTTGAACAAGTGATTGGAGTTTCTTCAGGAAATATTACACTTGAACTGTTTGCTAGCTCTGCAGGATTTAAATGACATAATATACTATCTAGGTCTTTAATACAATTTGCGTCTGGTGAATGTTGGAAATAATTCAAACAGAATAATTTTTTAAAGGCGCAGTAAAATTGTACAGATGTAGGATTTCGATTATTTCCATTTTGTAACCTGAACATGACAAATAAATGTTCTATTCTATCTTGATTTATACGGGAAGTACATAAAACAAAATATTTATCATTTGAATCCCCTTTTAATGAATCCCATAACATAAAAAGACCATTAATGGCAATCAGCCATCCATTTATGAAATTCATTCGTGCTGCCATTTACAGAAATAACTCAACTTTTCAAAAAATGATAGCATCATATTTAAGTGATCTCTCTGTAACTCTGTGTTTTTGAAAGGCCTTCTATAAGATTTATCATTTGGTATATTTGAGGAATTAAATATATCAAAAAGCTTGTCCATTTTACTTATGAATTGTATGGTAAAATTAGCTTCAAGTGGTAATTTTTCAAGTAAGTGAACATTCCTGCAGCAACACTTTCACTAAATACCTGTGCAGCTAACTTTACTCTCATTTTTTCAAATGGACCAGGATATATGTGAGCATAGGTTAACTTAGGTGCTAACCTCAAGTTTAATTTTGAATCATTTTTGTAAAAATGAGCTAAAAAGTTACTATTGGTTGATTGATCATCAACTTTAAAATAGTGTTTTAAAAACATATTTCGAGTTGACTTTGACAAATCAAGATAGGATTCAAAAATATATATAATTTTTGTTTGTTTACATTAAAATATGGCCTGCTTGGGCTTACATAAACTTTTCGACTAAAACTCACAAAATTTGAACCTTGATCCGTTATAAATGCTTTAACATTTAATGAAACATTTTGAAGTTTGGTAATTGTAGTTGACGAAGAGGTCGGTTGTTGCTGTCGTGCGGCGAGGTGTTGTTGGAGCACCACCGCCTCACGGGTTTTTCCGTGTCGAAGGCACGTAAGTGCACGGATCGCGGCACTTGGGAGCGTCCGCGCCGAATTGGTCGTGGTAATAGCACCAACCAGCTAATATGTTCGGTCGCGGCTGCGGCTGCGAGCGGGAGCGATCAAGCTGCTGGCGCGTGGGGCAACGTGGGGCAACAGCGCGGCCGCCTGTGATGTCGCCAGGGACGCGATTTGTGTGGTAAGTGTGTGTACCGCGTTCTCGAGTGCGATAAGACGCGTGTCCTGGTCGGGCAAACCTGCCGGCGTAATCGGGCGAGTGATCGGATGTGACTCGCGTAAGTCGTGGTCCCTCGAGACGGCCGAAATTTTGATGCTTTGGGACGCCTCCCACACTCGGTCAGCGCGTTCGGCAAGAAAATCTACGGAACCGATGAGACCGGCGATGACGATGCGGAAGGGTGGCAGCAGCTTGCTCAGCCAGAACGCGAGCAGGGAGCTGTCCGTCATGCCGTCGGGGTAGATCTCCCGCATGTCCCGGAGCAGACGTGATGGGGCGCGATCGCCCATGCCACCTGGCTGGATCATGCGCTGAAAGCATGTTGCCTGCGGGACGCTGTATGCCGCGACGAGTCGCTGTCAGATTGACTCGTACATCGCGTCCGATCCAAGCAAATCCGCGATCGTGAGGACACCATCCTCGTCCAGTGCTTCGAGCATGTGGTTCACGCGCGACAGATCCGAACGGATTCGCTTGTTTGCAAACATGGCGTCCGCGTGCGTGAACCACTGAGTAGGGGAGTTGTGCCAGAACCCCGGAAGCCTGACATGCGTGAAGGATGCAACGTTCGCACTCGGTGTGGTCGTGGTCGTTGTCGTCGTGTTGGTGAGTGTCGGGATGCCACCTGTCGCGGCGACAGTGGTGATGGTTTCGAGCATTTCGGATCTTGCGGATAAACACGGGTGGAAAATAATTCGACGTTGATCGCACAAGTCGGTTCGAGAATTCGATATTCGATCGACGCACTCGCGGGCGGGCGGACTTTCGTGTCGGTAATCGGCGGGCGGAATCGTGTACCTCAGAACGTTACTGGGGTAATGGCGTTTTGTCGATTTCGGAGGTCACCAATGTGGTGTTTTGTCGAAATCGGAGGTCACCAATGTGGTATTATCGGCGTTGCCACACTGTCGTGGCCCGAAACGTGGTTCGGGTGTGCCGATTAATACTCGTGTTTTGAACCAAAACCAGAAGGTATAAAAGAGGTAGGTAGGTAAAATAAGAAGTAACAAATTCGGCGTACGATCGATGGTGTATATTTTTAGGTAAACAAATAATTCAAAAAATGTTATTCGACGAGTAAACTTTGTTGCGTGAAATTACAGGGTGAGTCGTCGAGACGTATGGCTGTTCGAGTTGAGAGCGAAAAAGCGAGTGACGATAGAAGCGCTCGACGGCGGCTTCGAGCGCGTAACGGCGAAGTCGCCGCGTGAGTGGTAGAAAAAGTTGAGCGGCGAGTTGTCATGTGACCAAAGACGGTACAACATTAAATAATATGATTCACAGAAATGATAAATAAAACGAATACAAAATAAATCACATGACGAGTACAATATAAAAAGGGTGCGGTAGCGTAAGTGGTGATAACACGTCGGAATCACCACACACTCATAATTATTGATAGTTGATATCATCATTATATAAACAGTGTAGCCACCCTATACGACTAAATCAATAATTTCGATAAAAATCAATCTCACCTCGCATTATCAAAGTCACCCCAAACTACTGTACCCGATGTTTTAAAAGACACCTAAACATACAAATATATTATATTATTATAACAATTTGTTGAATGTTAATGAAATGGTATTCAAATGGTTTTGTCTGACATTGGTAATTTGTAATTAATTAAGTTTTACCGAAATCGCATTTTGAGTAGTCCATTAGTGCGTTCAATTAATGATCTGGTTTTAGTAAACCATTTATTGTATCTCCCTTCTGGAGTATCGGGGTCTGGATTATTTATTGGGGTCATCATCCATGGCCTAAATGCATATTCAGAGTCCCCTAGGTACATGAGAAAAATATTGATCATATTATGAAAAATAGTTGACGAACTTCTCAGGCAGCCAGGCAGGTGCTCGGGTACTAGGTTTAGGTATTAGGTAATATCGTATAAGCTATACCTAATAGGTAATAAGGGGTTTAGGTAATTTGAGTCCGAGATAAGTTTGGTACATTTTGAAAGCGGTAAATTGAGTCCCGGGAAAAAAATGGTAGTAAGTAAATATTATTTATATAAGGATATAATATTTAGATTTATATATATTAATTTAAAAAAATTATTATCGTTAAAAATTATCATTATTATTATATATTATACATTATGTACTTGGTAAAAACTTCATTGATATTGATTTAATAAACTCAAATCGGGTTATAACATTACTGGTGTATTTGGTCATTTACTCCCTTAGGTTTTGTTCCTTATCGAGAGTGCTTTTCTTTTTTTGATTTTTACTTCTTAATTTTATTTGTGTCTGACTGAACTTCAAGTAATTCATCAATAAAGTTAAAAATATTCGGATGTGGACTATAAAAGCGTCGGTTTAATCGCGAAGATACGATTCACAACTATTGGTTGTACACACGGTTGTAGCAGCAAATGCGGACCAAATATTCAGGGGAAATGTAGCATCAGCTGATATGTAAGTGCTTAGTATATAATAGCAAAATAATTGTATTTGCTTGTCATTTGGTTGTATTATCATTAAATCCTGTACAAAACATTCATTAACTTCTTCGGGCCTTAGAAATGGCAAACCAAAAATATATTTTAAAAAATTGATTTTTTCCGAATTTAAAGTTTTATAAGTGTTGACTAAACCAAGAGCTTAAATCTTTTTCCACCAATTTTTCCCTAAATGGAAACGGCATCCTCTTATAACAATTTTAGGCCAAACAAGCTTTGCAGCCGTGTGTATAGCAATCTCAAAATCTATAAACACTTCATTGGAAGAAACTATTAGATGATATTGCGCACAACTATTTATAGTATGTTCAAATAAACGTACATATGTTTCAGTTTCTTTATTTGGTAACAAGAAGAACACAAGCGGAATATACGATTCTTCGACAAGGCCATGAATGGTGAAAAATACCGAAATCTCCTCTACTGCTTTTCTCTTGAGATTATTACTTAATTTTTGTCGATTAATGTTTGTTCACTAGGTTTATCATGTTTGTGATCATTATAAATTTCAGTATCAACACCATTATGTCTCATAAAAAAAAACTTGCATGTATTACTACAGCAGGTCTATCTCTGTAGATACGTCATTATTCAACATTTTGTGGAACCTAAACTTATAACCATATTTTATAGTTACAGTTTTGTTTTTTTCACTAATCGTTACATCCATTTTCCAAAATTTAAGAGAAACACTCAAACACGTTACTATTACTGCAAACACAATACGATAGTCACTTCTTGATGTACAGTAGGTACGCTAATAAAAATATAATGAAATAGTCCATCGTACATTCGTATGTTTGTGTTTTATCGGTGAGATAGTAAGATACCGTCATATACGCACGAACAAGCCCTTACTTATCGGTACCTATCTTAATTGCGTTTAACCAAAGGTACGATGTTACAAAGTTATTGACTTTTATTGACTGTGAATGCTTTGGTGTTTTTAAGAGTGTATCGTTGGGGAAAAATATAATTATATAATTAATAATTATTATTTAAAAATCATTTTTCCCTAGGACTCAACTTACCTACCACCTGTTTTTCCCCGGGACTCAATTTACCAATCCCGGTAATAAGAACCTCATTCCTTCTTGATGCATTTGTTCCATTACTGTAGAGATGGAACTATGACGTCAAATATAACTTTCGTGAGTACTACCTGCGTATCTTGCATTTACATTTGTAAAATAAAATAATGTGCATATTTGAAATTGCATACCTATCAAAAATAAAAATAGTCATAGTTAGTGGGTCTCTATAATCATGCCTACATTACACATTGACACCTATACAGAAGATTTTATTTTAATATTTATAATTTTACCAATTGTACATTTATGGAATGTTCCGGGTAAGGTCCGTCTGCCTTTGGAGGTACTATCGCAACATGCGTGCAATTCACAATGCCAATAACTCCCGGGATTCCATAATTATCAGTGACCCTTTTTAATTTTGTGTTTTAAAAAACAAAGTAGGTATTATACTATTATTTACCTATAGATAATATATGTGAATGAAAATAAAATTGTTGAAATACTTACTCCTGTCTGGTATGATTTAATTCGTTCAATGTTTATGGGAAACTTATATATTTATTAAAAATATTAGGCATATTCAATGCATTACAAACTTCGGTAATGCATTTAAAAAAAAATCACAACAATGGGGAACCTACAAAAAAAGAAATCTTGACAGGGGGGTGGGAAACATAATATATAAAAAAAAGTAAAATATAAACAAACAAAACAGGTGGGCCTAGGCCCTCACCTGTCGCACCCCGGATATGTGCTCAATATAAATGTCTCGGGAAGCTGAAATGGTGTCGCTCACGGTATCCCGACAATTGAGCGAAAGAAAAAGAGCGAAAGTAAATGAGCGAATGAAAAAGAGCGAATACAAAATGAGCGAAAACTTATAGAGCGAAAAAATATATATAATCGTTTTCGCTTTAAATACTGTGTACTAACATTGATTAAATATATTAAGTATACCTATTACTTTACTTATATACATTATAACTATGTGAAACTATATTTAAGGATTCGAAAAGTCCGCGATAACGATTCGATAAGATTACGTTTATGATCATTTGTCTTATCTGAGTCACTGTCGTCGTACATATGTTGAATTTGTCATTTTAGTCGTCCGCCGGAGTTCGTGTTACTTTTACGTGTATAATTCTTCGCTAAGAGCAAATAATATTGTATTAATATGGAATACGTACTCAGTAATAAAAATAAAAAATTCAAAATTGTTGATGGATATACATTTAGAGTGGAATAAACTATTGAGAACACAATGTATTTAAGGTGTACAGAACACCATTTTAAAAGCCGAATGATAATTAAAAGCGAATCTATTACTAAAGGGCCGTCAGATCATTCACACGTGGCTGATGCAAGTAAACTTCATGCAAGGATTGTAGTGGCAAATATGAAAAACGAAGCTATTCACACACAACAGTTACCACAACAAATAATAAGTGCTACACAAATACCAGCTGGAGTGGTGGGAGCAATGCCATCAGTAACTTCAATAAAAAATACACTTCGTCGAATTCGCAAAAGGAACGACTGCGTCCCTACAGATCAAAAATCGCTTTCCTGAACAATTTAGAAACAACCAAAAATGGCGCACAATTTCTGTTGCACGATAGTGGCCCTTCAAATAATCGAATAATTATATTTTCTACACATGATAATTTAGACATAATGGACATGTTCATGCTGCTGGCGTCAGCATTTCTGTCATTATATCTACAACAGCGACAGCGTACAGCACGCACAATGGGAAACTCTTTTATCCCCGCTCTTCCCGTCTCTTCCTATTCACTACATACTCTATCCACTCCATACAAAACGTATTTATAGTGTCTTTGCTCAATCAATGTAAACACCGCCATATTGTTTTATATTTTTCTATTCTCTAGTTTTTTTTACGTTGTGTCAACATAACCAACAGAAATCGTAATATTATAATACGTAGTACTGTGTGGTGTGTACTGGCGACTCTCGCTATTACAGCAGCTCCCGATCTTTTTTATTATTAATTGTGTACATACACGTTCTATCTTTTCTCATTGTTGTCATCAGTCAAATGACACAATAATCTTTGTAACCTTATCTGATTTCGTGGAGACTGAGTCTGCAGATCATTTACATAACAGATATCAATAAATCATAATATTTCGTTCAAAATCGGTGAGTACTCATTCATTTGGTTCCTTTTGTAATATCTACCTCTTTGTTAGAGAATCCGAACTGACTATCGCCAATAAGAATCGAACGTACGGTGATCATTACACTATCATCCGCGTTATTCTTGGCATCACTCGTCACTTGCGTAAGCCCGCCAGCAATCATTGTGTGTTGTGTGAGTGGCCGCCCAGGTCGTCCAGATGCAATACGCTGTGGATCGACCAATCTTATACCTCCACCTCAGTCATTGATGCGTGGACATTCTGGGGCATCAGTGGATATCGTGACAACTGCATATACTTCCGTAGCATAAGTTAGTTGTAATATTATCTCCACTTATTGTGAGCTCTGTGGTAATTGCACCAGACCGATCCGAGCACAGAGAGACCCCCGCTTATACGTAAATTGCATAATCCTATTTCCCATTGTATAACCTGTATCCTTCACACCTTCGCGTTTCGGTGCGTTCTGGTTCCTTGTTGTCCATCGTCGCGTCATTGCCAGCCACCATCAATCCGTTTAGCTGTGTGTTGGATTACGTATATCTTGGGAGTAGGCGTCGTCGTCTTGTCACCTCTAACAACGTTAATCGTACATGCAACTTTGGTTGCCTATCCTTGACGCCGTCAATCTGTTCGGTAGATACAATCGCTACAAACTTATTCTATCGAGCTGGTCCTTCAAATCATCAAAATACCCTACAGGACAATTATAGTGATTGGTTTGCTGATGGCACGTTTAAAACATCGCCTTTAATATTTTCGCAAGTTTATACAATACATGTATTAATTAAGGAAAATATCATACCCACTATTTATGCTTTACTGCCGAACAAAACTGAAGAAACGTATATCCGTCTGTTAACAACTTTAAAAGAAATTAAACCTAATTTAAATCCAAAATCAATCATGACAGACTTCGAACGTAGTGCTTTCAACGAATTCATTTATGTATTTCCAAATATTAAACAAAATGGTTGCCATTTTCATTTCGCACAATCTATATGGAGGCACATTCAACAAATTCAAGGTTTATCAACAAAGTATAAATTAGATCCTAATTTTGATTTACATATAAGAATGATATCGGCTCTTGCCTTTGTACCACCCAACAATGTTATACTCGCGTTTGAAGAATTGTTGGATTCAACATTTTTTTGCGAAAATGAAGAATTTCTTAATCCACTAACTAACTACTTTGAAGACACGTGGATTGGACGTCGAGAAAGAAAAAATGTTCGGAAATCACCGTGTTTTGATATAATGTTATGGAACTGCTATGAAATTTCCAAACGCCAGGGGGCCAAAACCAATAATTCTATTGAGGGTTGGCATAGAGGTTTCAGCTCATTGTTAGGTACCATATTTTATTTGTTGATAAATTTAATTAATTAATTAATTAATTAACTAAATATATTTTAATCTTTAGCATCACATCATCCATCCATCTGGAAATTTATTGAATGCCTTCAAAGACAACAGAATTTGGAGGAAATTAAATATGAGCAGTATCAATCTGGAATAAATAATATAAGGAAAAAAAAGAAGTACAAAGATTCGGCTGAACGGATTCAAAAATTAGTAAATGGGTACGACGAAAATGATAAATTAAATTTTTTAAAAGGAATTGCCTATAATTTGACGTATTAGCTTATTAATATTTTATTAGATACAACAAAAATAATAATTGTTGTCATAGTTTTAATTTTTTTTATATTTTCCATTATTTTTTATTCGCTATTTTATTTTTTCAATTAAATGATATTCGCTGTTTTATATTCAATATTTTGTGTTCGATTTTTTATTTTCGCTATTTTGGAGGTGAATCGTCGCTCACGCACAGCTTCCGCATCAGGGCAGCATACGAGCGGCTGCAAAGTGTCCTCATGAACGGATCGTTGGCGGGATCCTACGAGCCGAGGGCTCCAACTATGAAGGGCACGACCGTTGCCTCGCACCCATGCAGCGCTGCCAACTCGGCCCGAAGTTGCTCGTACTTGCCCTTCTTCTCTGCCGCCGCTGTCTCGAAAGCGGCTAGCCGGTTGTCGAAAGGCACGCTGACATCCACGACGAAGATGTTTGGGCCATTCTTCAGAACAAGGTCCGGTCTCAAGCAATGGTTGCCCAGGACCTGATTCTCGGAGAGGACCTCAAACTTCGTGGATGCCGCCTTCTTGATCCTGGCGACTATGGCGTTGTGCCTCGCCATGTAGAGCGCGGTGTACCGCATGCAGTGGTCGACGACGTGGGATAGGCTTTCATTTATGTACCCACATCGTCTACACCAACGTTCAACGGCTAGCCACGAATTGGAGCCATTCAACGGAACGAGGTTCAGCCTGGCGCGATGCACAAAGCTCCAGTCAGCGAACCTCGTGAAGTCGCCATCTCTCAAAAAGTGGGAGGAAGCAGAGTGAACGGCCTATCGGTCTATGTCGGCAGCAGTCGATTACCGTACGTTGTTGTATTGTGGTTTGTCGCGATGAGTCAACAGGTTGATTGTCGCACTGTATCGGATCATCGATTTGATGGATCGGGCAGCAAACTAGTTGTTGGTCATCTATTGGTTGTTCCTCTACGATTCTTCTGATCCTTCTTGGTGGTGAAAGAGACTGAAAATTTTCTATCGGTTGTCGTCGACGCCGAGGCGGGTCTATATTTGATATAGGGTTGTCCGGAAAATTGAATTTTTCATAAATATTATTCATCTCTTGTATAGTTTGTTCATGTGGATCGAATACCGAGCTATTTGATCTTATTTTCCACTGATTTTGTTGTATATCGTATGGAAATGAATAATTTAGTGGCAACGTAAATGGTTTTCCAGGACTCTCCCACTAAATAATATCTAGAAATAAAAAAAAATATTGCATAATATTTTGAAATTAAATTAAGGACCGTAGTTACATTATCTAACGGTGAAACTCGTTTGATCCATACTGTTACCAAGTCTGTTACCACTTGGGTTTTTGCGTGTTTGCCGGTTAAAAGAAGATACATTTAACAGTGTCTCTTATACCATTACAAGATGTGTTATTTCTCAAAGTTGTCGAATATCATCCAATATCTGTAGGATTAATTTCCGAAATATTTTTTTCCCAGTACCTGAGCGGTGGTAAATACAAGTGCTACAAAAGTTCTAAAATGTGTCATTTCTTGTATAGTGTAAGTTTTAATGTGTTAAAATGTGATGGGTGATTTGTTAATATTAAAACTTCTATTAAAATAACAAACATTATAGGTATCATAGATACCAAAAAGTAGAGTAGAGTCTAATACGTCCATAGATATATACAACAACTAGATAGCCGTCTCCTTCTTGTCGTCGAAGTCGGCCGCCATTTACAAAGCAGGCAATGTTTACAAAATAATATTATCATCGTATATATGTATAGATAAATATATATGTATATAATTAAATGTAAAATAAATGTAAACATTGCCTGTTTTGTAAATGGCGGCCGATCTCAATATTGATCACAACTGTAGTATAATGACGGCTATCTAGTTGTTGTATATATCTATGATTACGTCTAATTGATACATATCATACAAAAAAAAATATTAAAAACCAAAATTTTGTACTACAGCTTTGAAAATAATATTACTCGACTCCAATTCACTTGCTGTATATGCCCAAATAGTTTTAAGTCCCCTGGTAAGCGAATTGGACTTGTAGTGGTGGCTAAACTAGCATTTTATCGTAGTAATCCTGCACCAATATATTGTTCACTTATACATTTTTCTTCGTTTTGTGATACTTCAGTTGATTCTTTTACGTATTGAAGTCTTATTGGTCTACAATATCGGACTGAAGAACACGTAAGATTTTGCCATATTACATAATTTGTCGATTGGTTTACTAATCGAATAGGTAAAATTGATGTTACAAACAACGAATCGTCTTTAGATCCACTATACGAAATTTGCTTATACTCTGAAAACCCTGAGGTACCATCAAAACCCCATTTACGGATATGTCGAAATCCTCGGCGAGGAGCCGGATTCCGCAGCAGCCTCGCTTGGTGGACCCATACAGGTACTCCCCCGACACCTCCTGCGGAAGGTACAGTGTCGCCTTGATTTCCGGCCTCAGGATCTTGTCCACCCTAGCCCAATCCGTTTTCGAGAATGTCCCCAACCGCTGTAAATGGACGGTTGAGGGGTAAAAAAAGGTCTTAAGCGCATCGATCCGCTGCCAGGGCGCGAGTTTGCTCCTGGCAATACGCAGACCGATGGCAATAATCTCGGCTAGGGTGGACAAAGGTGGAACGACGTTGAACCCGACCTGGGCGCCGAGGAATGTGGCCGCTTCGCCCTCGGCAAGCAGACGAAGGGGGAAACCTCGCAGCAGGAACTGCGTGTCCCGGACACCCACCGGCCATCGACCAGACAGGTGCAGCGACGCGCACTTGGCTGCATTGAGCAGGAGCCCAAGCATGTCCAGGCCACTGTGGGCCGCGTCGAGGAACAGCTCTCCCGGACTGTTGGCTATGAGGCACAAGTCGTCCGCGAACGCAAGCACCCGGTGGTCGACGGACTCGCCCTGCAGGAGCTCTACAACCGGGTCGATAGCCATAATGAAAAGGGGACCACTCAGCGGACACCCCTGCTTGATGACCGACCTCACCAGGATATCGTTGGTCAGTCCTCCTGCCACGCTCACCGATGACGTCGCTCCCGTGTAGATGTCGCGGATGGCCAGAAGGAAGTCCTCGCTGGCCCCGCTCCTCTCGTTGCAGCCTCCAGAATGGGGTGTGGAATCGTGCCGAACGCGTTTGACACGTCCAGCCAGGCCACGCACTTGTCCACCGCGTGGGTCCTAGCCTTCTCTAGAACTCGGTTGAGAGTGTGGACGTGTTCGAACGCGCCGTCCGCTGGCAGGAATCCCTTCTGGCAGGGGCTGAGGACCTTGTTTGACAGAAGCCACTCCGTCAGCCGACCGGCGACACACCCCACGTACAGCTTATACAGCGTCCGGCTGGGTGAGATGGGCCGCCAGTTATTGAGGTCCTCTTTCGCTCCCTTTTTATATATGAGCACAGTCACCGCTTTCTTCCATGCGGGTGGAACCATCTTATAACGGATTCATACGTTGATGACCACCTATAGGACCGTGCACTCAGGGTCGAGTCTTTTCCAGTGCCGATAGGTGAGCCCGTCGTCTCCAGGCGCCGTGTTCTCGAATTTACCGAGACGTTTGGAGACATCGGCGCGGGAGCACGGCCGTCCACCCTAGGAAAGATATCGGTGTTGCAGGTAGACGGTGCCCAGACGTCCCGGAAGTGGTCCTCGACGTCTTGAACCACGACATCACACGACTGTCCCTCGCCCGACATTATGAGACGCACTGCCTGCCGGTTAATATAGGTGTTAATTTACTTTACGCTCGATACTTATTGCAGATTTTCTAGATGGTAGTTCGAGATATTGGGACGCAATTCGTCGATTAATACATTTACGAGTGCTTTGGTTAACCTGATTTAAATTAATAAAAAAAAAATTAATTTTAAAAATAGACCCCCAGGAGTAACGCGCTCTATTGACCACCGAGAGCGGCTCGTGCCGTGTTTGGCACAGTTACTCGTTGTTTGATGGTGCGTCGCAAGCATTACATGGGATATATTTTGTATTCGTTACATAGTCCCTTTTTTTTTTATGTGTGCTTTTCCCTTGAAGAGGGAAAAGGGAAGAAAAAAACTATTTACATTATATACACGGTACATCTATTGGTTTGTTACATTATTTGCTTTAAAATAACAAGGTATGTCAGCAACTTTGTGTGAGATGGCGGCCGGTGTGCGCCTGTTATCAGTTCTCATATAATAAAATAAAATATTATAAAATAATATTAGATTCTGAACAGATATTGATATGGAATATGGATATTTTTTTTTTTTTGGATTTTACTTCTTTACCGTTGATTTATCCTTGTATTTTACTTATGAAATCATTATTGCTGTTTGACGTTGCATAAGACGTCTCATTTTCTTAACTTAAAATATAAATTAATTATGTGACTAATATTGGATTAAATGCAATAGGTAGGTACATAGGTATGCTAAGAAAGAATACATTTAATATTTACATTTTTAACTTATGAACTTCATTTTTTTTATTTTATTAGATTTTTTTAGTGTTATATTAGTATGTAATATTTGGTTGTTTATTTTATTCATCCGAATAAAAGTTCGAGTACGAACCAAACATTGTAACACTTCCAGCGGAAAATTTGGAAATTTTATTTCCGGTTTTTTGACAGTTGTGTAATTATGTTTGGCCTGTTGCTTAGAGCATCACCATGGCTCCAATGATAAAAATTGGCTCCAAAACATGTGCACCATTTACGAGTGGCTTTGATGGTATTATATAATTTCCTTTTGAAAGATGTTTAATCCATGAAATTTGTTTCTCTGAATTATCATCTTCATCTTTCAGGTAAGGATATTTACAAATAAAACGATGTGCTATATACCCAGCCACATATTCCACACATTTGGTTTCAACTTCTCCAAATGATTTTTAATCTTCCATCTAAAGAATAAATGTTATTGTTGTAAATTACAATAAAATTAGTAAATTGTCTAATATAGCATAGAATTTATTTAGTTTGGTAAATAAATATAATTTACATATTAATTTGTCTACCTCATGCTTTGTTATTTGTTCCATTTAAATTTATTAATTAATTATTTACAGTGTACATACCTCCTGCTCAAAGAAATCAAGTATGTTCATATCAACATCTTCAATTGTAGCTGCACCTTCCTTAATAAAAAGATGTGCGTGTTCTTTGGTTGTGGCAGTGTTGTAGTCATCAATGGGAAAGTACTTGGACAGACAAACATACTTCTCCCAAAACCAAGTTATTGTCTGTGCCATCAGTAGTATTTCGATTAGAAGTGAAAACTATCCTAGAATACTTGCCTAAAATGTACCATCTGAGACTAGAAAATGTATATATTTATATTATATCATTAAGTTAAAATGAGAAGTGTATACAATGGAGCAACTAGACATTTGTGCTAAGGACCGAAAGCACCCCCCTTAGTGGGGTTGAGTGTATAGGTAAGTTATTGAAATAATAATTACTGACACTTACGCACATTTAAATTTTATTTGTGTTATATTGTTAAATGCTGCTCCACACATTCCTTTAAGGAACTAAAAAAGTTCTCCAAGATATCTTGGTTGACTTTTCTTGTTATAATATCTGAGATATTATGTACTTTTAAATCATTTAATAAGCATTTTAATGATTTGTTTGTAATAAAAATACCTAGGAACAAAAACATTTGTATTTCTTAATGTAATTTTGGTAATATAATGCATAAATATTATATTTCAAATACCTTTATGAAATGGCAACAAGCTTCTTTTTCCGTGTACTCTCAAATTTAAAATAAAATTAGACATCTTGTCTAATAATTTATCCTGAGACTGTAAGTATAGTCCATCACTTGCTGAATTTTTATCAACTTTCTGATGAGTATTCAGCAAGTCGAACCAGTCATTAAATAATTGTATTAGTTCTGAAGCCTAAAAAATAGTTACTAAGATTACTTTTTTAATTATGAGTAAAATATATAAATATGTTAGCTTTTTAATAATTTTTATTTTGTGCTTCATAAAATGTTTTGATTATTTAGTATTTTTAAATAAGTATTAAATTACCATATTAATTGTATCTATGTAATAAATAAATTTATTTGTATCTCTTTCCAATTATAGTCTGTAGTTAAATTATTGTTTCCATTGAAACTTATTTCCTTTGCCACACCATTTGAAAAACTTGAACGGCTAGTCGAACATTCATTCGTGATGCACCTTCAACCATTGAATGAAGTTCAGTCAATTTATACCCTAATTTGAAGTCATTATTGCTATTTAATTTTAATAGTTCTTTTAAAATATTAATGCCGACTAATTTTTCATTTGGTAAGACAAATCCTCTATGAAAAAATAATGAAGTATTTAATTACTTGTAATTAATGTTTGTAGATTAAAGTACCTACTTATCTATAAAATGATTCCTAGCCAACTTAATAAGGTGTAGAATATCAGCAAAAACATATATATTTTTAGATGTTCTTGAATTTGGAAACGATGTTTGTTCCATAGATATATGTAATTCACGCCACAATCCAATGTTCGTTGGACCCATATCGCTAGTAACTGCTACTACGTTATATCCTATATCAAACAGCTCTAATATAATCTTTTTTAATAATTCTTCAGTCATTTGAGTATCAAAGTTGTAAAATATTGGTTGCTTCCATGGATATATGAGTCCTGTTAAGAAAAGGTTTAATGAGAAAATATTCGCATACCAAACTTTTTAATATAGAAAAAAAACCTCGAGCCATAAAAGTTTGAACGCATTTATGAGGACCAATTATTTGCTCATTTATTTTGTCCTACCAAATTCTTTTTGACACGTAAGTTTCATCAAATGAAATAACCGTTAATTTCTCTTGGTCTGTCAAAGTTTCTCCTTAAATATTTTTGTTGACATTTACAATTTTATTAACAGCAAAATATAAATTATTTTATATGAAGATTCTACCTTTTGCTTTCATCAAAGTCAATACACTATTCAGAATTCCTGGTTCAACTGAGAAATTACCTACCCATGTTCTAAGTGTTGATAAATCTATAAGTTGTAATTTAATTGTTATTATTATTATTTTTTTTTTTTTATTGAATTATCATTATATGGCAATGGAAACTTTTTTTTTCACGTAGATACCTATACGCTTTTGGGGAAACACTTCTCAATGATATGGCAGAGGCAATATCTTCAGGTGTCCATTTGAAAATTTTTTTATTGTTTTTTAAAATAGCGTCAATCTGTGTTGGTGTGAATAATTTTGAAAATATTGTATGAATCCGTGAATTAAAAGTACCATCTATTTTATTAAGAGAATCTTTTGAGCTTTTTGAATAGAAATTATTTCTTTTAATTTAATTTATTCATTTTTAAGTTTTTCGTTTTCCTGCTTATATTTTTCTATTGTTTCCTGCATTCTGCATGTAAATAAAGGAATTATATGTTAGCTTATAGAACACAATTTAATCATGTGTATCATAATTGTATTTATTTAATTGAATAGAGCCTTAAGAGGACGTGATACCAGCATGTGTTGTCTCCGTCTTACAAGTGCGTAACATAGAAAATTCTACGCAAACCAGAACACGTGTAGCTCCGTTAGCTTAAAATTTAGAGAATTGACCTCTTATAAAATCTAAAGGTAAGATTAAAATAAGATAAAATTGTAAATTGCTTATAAATCTTAAAGCACTCATAACTAGCTTAAAAATGAAAATATTATAAAAAGCCGATGTTGTCTAGATAATAATAATCTTACCTTTAGATTTTATAAAAGATTAATTTACTCTAATTTTTAAATGAACAGAGCTACACGTGTTTTGCTGAGCGTAAAATTTGCTATGTTATGCTCTTGTAAGACGGAGACAACACATTGATACGGTGCAGTTTAATACGTATCCCCGTATCGTGGAAGAAAGTGAACAATAATTTATTGGTAATCACTTTCTTTTATTGAGTAATATTTAGTGAAATACAAGGTTTGCAGGCAGTGGCGTTCTCAAGAATTTTCAATGGGGGGGGGCTCTGCCCCCCCACACCCCCTGTAGTTATAAGAATTACAAATTTTGCACTATTTAAAAAAATTATATATATTTTAACACAATAACACATTATAATATAAATTATAAAGTCTAATTTCCTTGGCTTTTTTGCCAGATCGTCCACCACTTCCTCAGCTGTTAGTGGCACATCCCCATGAATTGCCAATATTGTGAGTCCATTAAGATGGGTCTAAAATATTTTAACAGATACATTAGGTATACTTATAAATTTAACCAAACATTATGTTTGTAAATAAAAGTTAATACCTCTGTCATTGTACTACGTAAATAGTTTTTATGTTTTTTAAGACAAGAAAAAGTCCTCTCTGGCGTTGCTGTAGATACTGGTATAGTACACAGAATTTTAATCAGGCGATGGATATTAGGAAATATTTCATTGTTACACAGTCTTAACGCCTCTAATGCATTTTTCGGTTCTTCTTTATTTCTCTCCAATTTAGTGTGCCATAGTAGTAATTCGGCTGTAACAATTTGTAGATCGGTATCTAGGTAATACTGAACCAGTTCGTCAAACTCTTCAGTAAAGGGTTTAGAAAATAAACACCCAAATCCTAACAAAAGAAAAATATATTTTAAATACTAAAAATTAATTAATTTATAAACGAAATAAAATAGGTATAACTAGCCATTTAATATAATTGTGTGCTTTAAAAACCTTTCATTTAATTGTTCTATAAAAGAATCAATAAATGGTATGGCTATTGTTACACGATAATATTTTTCTGGTGTAATATTATCAATGCAGAGGTTGGCTCGATTTTTGTTAATTTTATTCTGACGTTTAATTGAAATACTCACGCTAACCACATCAGCCATTTTCTGAAAAAAAAATAATAATCGTTTTGTCAAATAATTGCATTTTATCAAAATCTTTACCTCAGCTTCTCTGAACATTTTATTGAACTCTTGTTCTATATTATCACGTAAACATTGAATACTTTTCACAGTCACTTCAGCTAAGTCCACAGCTTCTTTTAAATCAAGTTCAACTTTTTGTAATAGTTTACATAGAGGCAAACCATATCCAAACAACTCCTAAATAATAAAATAAAAATTGAAGTTGAACAAAAAAAAAACATTTTTGATTCATTAATCACCTTAATAACTTGTAAAGAGACAAAAAAATCAGAATCCATAGATTTTGACAGGATATTAGCATCTGTAGCTGTTGAGTCTTTCCACTCAGATATCTAATCGAGCGCACTGACCACACAGGAATGAATTGCCGAATATCTTTCAACCCATCTTGTGGCACATAGGCGTTTTAATGATTTCGATTTAGGATTAAAGTCACTTTCTTCAATTTCACTTAATAACATATCTTGTCGTTTAGGTGTGTTGAAGAAACAGTACATTTTTTCAACAATACCCAAACAGTTCCTAATTGATCGTATATCACAAGCAGCAGATACAGCCAGATTTAGAGAATGGGCTGCACAGTGAACATATATAGCCTTAGGGAAGTTTTCAGACACAATTTTTTGTGTTCCTTTGACGTGTCCTGCCATGTTTGATGCCCCATCATAACCCTGACCAACCATTTTACTACAATCAATTCCACAGGAATTTAAACCTGTTAAAACTAAATGTGTATACAAATTAATTATAAGTAGGAAATGCATATAATAAATATAAAATATTTACCATTTATGATAGAACTTGCTATATCTTTTCCTGTTAGGCTATGAATAACAATGTATTTTAAAAAAACTTCACGCAAATAGACATTTTTTCCAGTATCAGATACAAAACGAACGCATAAAGTTAATTGTTCCTTCAATGAAACATCGGTTGTCTCATCTGCTAAAATTGAAAAACACTCAGATGTGTTAATTTCGTTGAAAATCTTTTCCATTATTAAGTCACCACATGAAGATATAATTTGATTTTGGATATTTGAACTTGTATACTTATACCGGTTCTTGGATTCTAAAAATTCTTTAAAACTGGCCAAGTCTTTAGCCTTATACTTGAGTATGGCACGAAAATTACCTTCATTCACATATGGACATTCACCTTCAAATACATTTATAATTTAAAAACATTTCTAATAGTTTAGGTTATCTTCTTAAAATACTGACTTTCAAAAGAAATAGGACGAGAGTATCTATGGCCACGTAAGGCAAGCCCTTGTCTACCACATAGCATGACACATTCAATAATGGGTATTAGCATCAATCTATTTTGCTTCTTCTGTTTTATTCTAAATATTATCAAACCTAACCTAACCATTAAAGTTTCATATTTATTATATTATTATAAGTAGGTTACCTGTCATCATCCAAAAGATCAATTATACTTGGTTTATTAGTTAAAAATAGTTTTGAAAAATGTTCACCTCTAATTAAAGATGTTCTGTGGTATTCATGTTTATTGTGATTTTCAAAATACTAAAAATGTATTGGTAATAGTTAGGTGCAAAATATAAAAAATTAGTATGTGTTAAATTAAAAATAAAAGTAATTACTTCTAAAGCATTTTTCCAGTTTTGGTATGCAATCAAGACAAGGCCACCTAACTTTTGTGACCCAACACCACCAACTTTAGTAAAAACTACACAATATTTGCAAAATGCACCTTCAAACTTTTTAGAGTAACATAACCAGCTATATGTTGTCTCAAGCCAACGGTACTGAAATTTCAGGTTTCTTTTAGAGTTAATTTTTAATGTTGGAAATTCATAATTAACTGGTGGTGTCCATAAGTTATTTAAAACATTAAAAAATGCTATGTACATTAAGTAACTTAATTTAAGTTACATAGGTTTTTAATTTATTTAGTTTTTATGAATAAAAAAATTTGAAAATAATATGTGATTAAACTTATCGAACAAATGCGTTCACTATGTTTTTTTCATTATCTGACAAGCTTCGATTTATAAAGAAACCTATATCATTTGTTGGTCCAACTTCAACAGGTGCATTACATTCTAACATCTCTAACTGAAATAAAGAAAAGCAAAGCAACAAGAAAAACATCTATAATTAAAGCACTATTTCACCTATTCTGCGGTAAATGTGGTTAAAGCAAATAGCAATAGTGTGATATCTAAATTTAAATGTAAAAAGTATCCATGTACTCATTGTACTCATATTTTCTGAATTTTGGTCACATTTGTCACTCGGTATTTGGACGTCTTGAACAATTACATGCTAAAAACAATAATTAGTATTGTATAATATAATCCTATAGGTACCTCGAGTCTTTATCACTTACATTAGTTGAACTACTTGAATTGTCATCGTCATTGATACTCGGTACATGAGAATTCTGAACAAAAAAATACAGATATATTATAGTTTGGAACAATTATAGTTTAACGCTCACGGGCCACACACATTTTTGAATTTTTTTTCTTAACTTCCAAGTTCGTAGTAGTTTTGTGCTTAGTAAAATAGTACCGAATAATATTATTATACTTATTACTTACCGTTGGCGTTTCCACACAAACTTTTTTTTTGAAGTTGTTGAAGTATGATAACAATGTACTCTTTATTTTATCTCCCATTGTATGAATTATAGTTAGGCTTAGGTAGTTACCAGTTATTTTAGTTAAATAAATATAAAACTACTAGAACTAAGAAGTAAACTAGTAAATACTAAATACTAACACAGAAACGAAAGACTTTAATTAAGCATACATGAATACGAAATCTGTACGTTAACGTTATCATCACATATTCACATTATCACA